TGTTATGAAATACGGGGAATATAAAGAACACAATGTAAAAACCGGATATAAATTGTACTAAGCTTTCTTTTCTTCTTCACTTCATCCGTACACACATTACATACTTTTAGCCCCTTTTATAGACAAATTTTAGGGCATGTAATGGCACACATTTCAATAAATATTTTAGTACAATAATCAAAGTGATAAGATAGTGGTAAGATTCCACATATTTACAATAAAGTGTACTTTATGAGGAACTCTATGTTAAGCAATATAAGTCACCATGTGGAGTCAAAGAAAAGAGGGGAAAAATAAAAGGGGATTACTTTTACTTTGTTGATCTAAGATGCCTTTTGGTTGCTCATTTTGTTCATAATTTTTAAATTAAGACAACGACTAAATTAGGACAGCCACTTTACTTAGTCTAATAGGAGACTAGTAAAGCAATATTTATTGTTGAACTTAAATATTTCTATTTCACTATTTAGCTTGAAACAACACAATAAATATTTACTGCTACTCTTTATTCAACACACTACAAATGTATGACAACATCACCCAACTCCAAATGTTTTTTTGCAACTTTTTTCTTGGTCATTGTATTCACCCACAAATGTTGAAATTAAGTTGTTATAGAGTTATATTTTTTGAGGAAATATATATTTGTATTGTAAAATGCCATACTTTTGTTTATAGTATGGCCTTTGAATGTAAATATATTTATTGAAAAATTATGATTGTTTTGTTATTAAGCAGTGTAACAAAAGAACTACGGATATCCACCGATCTTTAATTATATTTCTATGAAAAGCTTTTCAACACCAATGAATAATAAAACTACACTATACATCACATTTGTTAATGTTATATTATTCATGATAGAAAAACACAAACCAGGTGTATAAAACATGGATTTGAAGAACAATACTACACAGCACATTTGTTGGTTCAATTTGTTTTATGTTGTTTTGTTTGTGTTGTTAGTGTGCGTTTGTGTTTTTCTTCTCTCGTTGGAGAGTGTGTATTCTCTCGTTGGGAAGTGTGTTTTTTCTTTTGGCGTCTGTGTGTTGTAATTGTGTTATCTAGGCTACCTTCGTTCTGTTCGGTAAGCATCTCTTTCCGACTAGTGAATCGGGTGTAATTATGTGATTATTGTTATAAAATCTATCATTTTTTACAAAAAAATAAACACAAAATGCCAAAACAAGAGTATTACATGAGTTATATACAAGATTATGACATCTGTGTATGATTGTGACGTAAAACAGTATAACACTCAATTATTCAAACTTTATTCAATCAAATTCAAATGTGTCTTTGTGTCTTTTCCTTTTTTTGTCGTGTTTTCTTTTCATTTTAAATTCAAAGACTACCTCTTGAAAATCTCTCTTCTTTTTCAAATTAAAGATTGCCTCCTCAAAAGCTTACTCATAAAAAAACGAAAGTTAAAACATGTAAAATCTGTAACATTATAAGTTCACAGAAAATACAACATCACAAAAGAAAATTGAAGTCTTATACAAAGTACAAACACACCCAAACTCTCACTCACAATAAATAAGTAGAGATAGATAGCCCATCTCAGCTACCAACAGAACAAGGCACAATACAACAATTCTGTAAAGCACAAAAAAAAAAAAAAAAAAAAAAAAAAAAAAAAAATTCCAGCCGGATAAATTACGAATCAATCAGCCGGATAAAATACGAAAAAAGATTTCAGACAAACGGACCAACCTTATAAAAAGCAAAGGTCAATGTTGTGGCTTTCAAAATTTCCCTCACTAGGCGCCAGAGTGAGACACGGGGCTCGTCACAAATTGGCCATCCTTGTATACATGGACATACTGTTGTGGCAAAGCTTGCTCAACCTAAAAATTATATATATAACAAGGCAAAAAACAAAATTAAATATAAAACAAGGCAAAAAATATAAATATCGAATTTGAAGGTAAGAAGATAAAAAAAGTATGGACATTACCCAATCATCATCTGGTTTGGAACCAGGTACCAAGACATTGATTTCACTTGACTTTGCAGTTGTAATAGAAGCCTCCAAGGCATCTTTGCTCAAGTATAGTTGGCAGCCTGATGTATTGTCTATTGAAATTGTTGGAGCCGAGCCCTACAGAATGCAAATCACAACACCAACAGGTGATGATTATTATGGTTTTCAAGTTACTTAAGGTGTGATTGGATATGGATTTAATCTTGATTTTGATTGGTTTTTTTTTGTTAACCATAGTTAATTTTGTTGAAAAATGTGGTATGGTTAGTTGTTAGTGAAATTTTGAGTTTATATTAAAATAATATTTAAAATAAAATAAATAAAGTTGATTTGATGAAGAAGTATGAGAGATGATGTGAAGTGATGGTTAGTTAAAATTATGTGAATGTATGAATAGTGAATTAAAGTTGATGTGATTAGGGACACATACTTAGGGACATATACAGAAACTACTGGAGTGATATGCCTAACTAAAAAAACTCCTCCTGAAATTAGCCTAGTTTACAAAAGAAAACTTGTTTTCTTGCACATTTCACAAATATGGAAATATGGAAATGAATCTAGGGGTTCGCATTTATTCGATGACTGAGGGAGCAATTATGAAGAAATGGAGTATGGATATATTCACCTTCTGACACAAAAGGAAAGGAAAAAAAAAATATATATTAAACAAGGAAAAGAACAGTTATTACCTGACATTGCACCTCCACGCCACTAGAATTGACAATCTCACAAGCTGCCACAACATCCTAGTCCCCAAATATTTCAAGATAAAACAATTGAATTTACCTTAAAGCATGTAAGATAACCAAGTAATTAATCGTAAAATTTTAATAATCGTTGCTTAACCAACCTTAAACACGAGACCCATCTTAGTGCACTTGTCAACCGTAATGTTGTTTACCTTGCCTGCATAATGCATATATCCCACAATAAGCTCACAACTCACTTAAAGACAATTTGACTCAGTATAAGATCTAACTACTGGGCCCAACTTTATCATCGAAGGCCAACATGTATTGCTAGTAGAAAGATTTACCATGGATCTGGAGAACTGAATTTTTGCATCCATAGATGTACACCGACTGTTTAGCATCACAATCATCGATGACTAAATTGTTTCGTCCAATTTGGTTCTCAACCACCCATCTGCATAAAACACGACACTTATATGTGTTACTAAAGAACTGAAAACCTAGACTTGATCTCTGATGATAACCAGAAAGTTCTACTCACTTACGACCCATCTGAAGCTCCAATTTTGGTGGACCTGTCTTAGAGAAAGCAGGTGAATTAGTACGACTTTCCTTCTCAGAAACAGTAACCATGCCAGATCTGTCTGCACGGTTCTTGGTCTTCATATCATCCGTGACTTTCCTCAATCCTGCAAGTGCAAAACTACATTCCGATAAAATAATAATAATCAAAATAAACAGAAGTATTAAAAGAAAATTAAAATAATGTCTAGAAATCACAAGGCGCCCACCAGCAGTAACCGGTTTTCCAGAGCTAATTTCCTGGAAGACAGCAGACATGCCTTCCCTGGGCCGTGATGATGAAGGCTGATTTGTTTCAGAGCTAAAGAGTGAAGCTGCTGGTGGGGGTGGAGGGGCGGGGGCACCGGGAGCAGCTTTGGGAGTGGGATCTGTGACTGCTTGGGTAGATCCTGCTATTTTGCCCGTGGCATTCCACACAGGGCCCAGCGGATAGTGACTCTTCACGTAGTCCCTCAAGCCAGGTAGATAGAGCTCTTTTAGAGACCTTGCCCACTCGACGTGATTTGCATCTTTGTTTCTATACTCCACAAGAATCTAGAGAAGAGTTAAAAAGAACATGAGGTAATGAAAATGTGGTGGTTCAAACACTTATCCATTGATGTACAACGACGAACTCTTCTCCGATTTACAATGAACAATAAAGCAGTACTATGCTTGCTTGAAAAAGGTAAGAAGACAGATAAACAAATTTCCGAGCACGGTTAAAATTGTACAAACATCTCACTTAGATTTCTTTCATACGCCTTGATCTTTTTTTTTTTTTGCTTCTCAGCAATTTCTTTAGGCTAACTAATATAACATAAAAGTAAAAACACGCCAAGCTGATAAACACTTGCAGTTTTGGAGAAGTTCTTAGTGACAAGCTTCAACTACATTCTAGATAAGTTTCCAGGGGCATACACAACTTCAACAAGTTCTATATATATTTTGCTGGACTGCATACCAATCACCAACACAAGCAATTTACTGAAGAATGCCACCAAACCTTTTTAAAAATGCATAAGCTGTGTTCTAATAAACCTTTTTTAAAAAGCCCAAGCTGTGTTCTAATACAACAACAACAACATAGCCTTTTAGTCCCAAACAATTTGGGGTAGGCTAGAGATGAAACCCAAGAGAACCAATGGTAAGAGAAACACAAAAAGGGCTAAAAAATATAGTGCCCGAGAAGAAAGTTGTAAGTAAGAGCACTCCCTGTCGCAAGATTTTACACTGGTTATGCATAAGTCCTAGTGTCCTGCAGGTTCACTTCCCAAAAACATGTAAAAACTCATGATGTTCACTTATGCTGCAATTTCATGTTTCATTAACTATATATAGTGAGGCTAGTACTGAAAGCATAACTTGTATACCGAAAAAACTCAACACCATATTATATATGCCGACATGCGTATGATGCACATGTGTGTCAGTGTGTGTAAATGATCCCCATGCCTTATCTCAAAAGAATGTTGCAAACATACTTAATAAGCCCAAGATTACAGATACACCTTCTCCAAATATAATTCATTGGAAAAAACCAACATAAGAGAACACAGATGAGCGAGACAGATATTTAGAGGGTTACTACATTTCTCCTTGTGTCCATCTCCTATTTAGTTTTTCTCTGGAGATAGAGGTGTTGCACTTTTTAGTGAACAAAGGCAAAGAATCAGAACCTACCTTGTTACAGTAAAACTCCGCCATCTGCCAACTTTCCTCCACATGTGCAGTGGGCATGCTCATACCTAAATTGACATAGTAGAACTGTAAAAGAAAAGGACAAAACAGTTAACTAATTACTAATCAGTGCCATGTGTGGAGAAACTTTTCATACCACAGCCTTTCCCCGAGAAAGCAATCCATGCCAAAGCAGCCAAACTATCTGCACCAGTCTTTACGTGAAGAAAATAATCTGTTCGTCTTCCCTCAGCCAACGCAGAAGCTTTTGCCATCACATCATTCAACGGCTTAAGAAATTCCACCAAACCTGGATTATCAGGTTTCTGCACATATAGCATGGGAATATTAAGGTTCACAAACCACACGCACAAAACACATATAGGTGGGGTAGGACATGAATAACTGAAAACACATACTAACAATGACATGCTTGGATATTAGATCATCTTAAAGTCTAAGTATCTCCCACAATCAGGTAATGCAATTGCGTATTTTAAAAAAAAAAAATGCACTACAAAATACGAAAATATATCAAGAATCTACCAATCCCCACAACGAGAAGTTTTCACATACAATACCTAGTCACCTACTATTGGTTTCCAAGTCATAGATTAGCCCAGACTCATGCAATGAAATTTATAACTAGTTTAATCTAAACACATCAACCAGACGAATCAGGAACTGCGATCAGAATCATAAAAACAACCCTTTCTGTTCGAATTCCCCAACGACAGAAACAGAGATGCCAGCAGCCCCACCTCATTCACCTCCCCTTCCAATATATATTTTTCATCTAAAGGATAAATTCAGCCTTAACCCTACAAATCTCTAAGCAATCACCATTTTATCCATAATCACAGAAAAAAAAAGGACATGGCACACGCTTCCATTCATGCAGAATCATAAAGAATTCATACATACAACATCAACGCAGTGCTACATTCCATTCACAATTCTAGACCGTATTCGAACAATCTTAAATCTTAATTATCTCATTAACACAAAACAGTCTCACGCAGCCACATCACAAGAGAAGAAGCAAAACCGACCTGAGTTTGCTTGATTTTGATCAGAAGCTCCTTCTGCACATCAAAAGCTTCAGCGATGACCTTAGACACGTCCAGAACCTGTCCCCCGATCTTCTCCGCGGCGCTCGTGACTCGATTGACGTGCTGGGAAATCAGATCGTCGAACGCCACGATCGACGGATCCGCCGCGAACGAATCGCCGCCGTCCTCCGCCGGGAAGCTCCGCGCGATTCCCCCAGCAGAGAGCGCCTCCAGGCGAGCCACCGCGGCTTCCAACCTCTTCACCAAATTCTCTTCCATGGCCGCTCAATCGATAGAACAGATCTAAAGTGTGTGTGGGTGTTTTTTTTTTTTCTGATAACCTCTTTTATTTCGCGTTTTTTCAGCCGAAATGTGCAAATTTAGGTCCCAACTGGAAATGTTGGTCAATTATCTATTTTATATTTTATTATTTTTTTTTTTTTGGAGGGGATTACACGTGGCGGCTGGGCAGCGCTGTCACCTGATAAACAACAACCAACTGCGTGATTTGCACGCGTGAAAAAAGTTCAGCTTTGTGTTCAGTTGGTCTTGGGCTCACTTAAAGCAGCGCTATTTTTCTATTTTTTGGGCTGGGCTCACTCAGAAGTCATACTTTAAGCCCATTTGTAAATTATGCTTTTTGGTCCATGTCCATCCCGTAAAACTAGTTTTTGGTGGTGGAAAATTGAGTTTCATCATTAACTTTTTTGGTGATAATTTTATTTTACAGTGAAGAAAACTTTTTGGTTAATCGTGGTAATCGAATAGAACCGAATTGAACCCTCCTGAGTATGATCTCGTAACTCATCAAGGAAGCAAAATACTGATAATACATGCATGAAAAAACAAACCGGTAGCTCTCAAATTCTCATACATAGGCACTTAGATTACAAAACATATAAGGCCATATAAGTGTTAGAGTACACATAGCTTCATTACTTAAACTCTGTCTCATGCGAAAGTTGCACGAAAACTACCTCAACCATAGGAAATACTAAGACGTCTGAGCTTCGACCAACGAGCAGAATAACACATCACAATATGGGCCTTGGGAATTTTCTTGTGGATCCTTAAGGAGCAACCCGATTCAAATTCCGACTCCAAGACAAATACCGAACCCTATCTTTACTCCCACTCGTACCCCTTTATTGAAGTACGATAAGTCTCCATCATCATCTTTCGGGTACTTGCTCGGATATGAATAATTGCCTTCTTCATCTAGTTTGCACACCGAGTAATCATTCCCTACCATCTGCAGAGTTTTCTAAAGTAGAACGGTTCTTCATGCATTTTGCATGATAAAATCAAACCAAACTTCATTCAACAATTAACTCAAAGGTAGTGTAGTGCTGTTAAATTAAACGAGTCTCGCTCGGCTCAGATCGTTAAGGCCCGAGTTCAGCTCAGCCCGTTTGATAAACGAACCAAGTTCTAACTCGTTTGGTTAACAACTCGGCTCGATAAGGCTAGTTAAGGCTCGAAAATAGATTTTTTATATAATTTTCTGTAGTTTGCTCGTTAAAACTCAAGATCAGCTTGTTAAGGCTCAACTCGGCTCGTTATTAGTGAAAAACAAGCCTACCTCGAGCTCGATTTCAGACTCGTTTATTTAACGAGCTCGAGCACCCTAAGCTCGAGCTCGGGTCAACTCATTTAAAGGGAAAAAAAACTAAAATTGTTATCGGCATCATGAGGCTCGACGACCAAGATTCCACATTAGCCACCTCATATTCTGGTATACACTCGAGTCGTGTACTATCCCTCCTAATTTGCCTCATCCTATAACCGAGCTTCAAATTCTTGCTCAACAATATCGGGCTGCCCAAGAAGCTACCCGTTGTGTAAACCTCCATAGCCTAGAAGATCCCAACGCACGGAAAACTACCCGGCTCGGGCTCGCACCTCAAGGCCCACCCAGGACCCACCACACCACGACCCATCTCGAAAGCTCCCAATAAAACCATTGTGCATCGTCGAGCTGACCTTTTCGCTGCATACGACGGCCGTGACATGCGGCGACGGGGCCTGGTCTTCGTGGACGGCGACGACAAATGCAAGCGCGAGGAGGCTGCCTTCGCCGACGGATATCGTGCCCGACACGATTGGGTTTACTACCATGGATTCAACACCACACGCCGGCCACGGAAGTGCATCGGTTTGGAGGGCGAAGGCGTCCATACCGGGGGAGAATGGTGTAGACGTATTATTATTATTATTATTATTATTATTATATTATTATTATTATTATTATTATTATTTAATATGTATATTGGAGAATAAATAAGAATTTAATATTATTATTTAATATTTAGTAAGAGATCTTGTCTTGATGGACAAGTTACAAATAGGGTTTAGGGTCTTATATAAAGGACTCCGTCTAGTTTATTTTGTTTGGTGAATTATGAGATGAAAAGATGAAATGATTCGTGTTTAGATGTTATTGAGATTTATTATCGTCTCACTCGTACGCTTCCCTACATCATTTATCAACACTAACGAGTTGAGTTCAAGTCTTAACAAGTCTAAACCTTAGAAAATTATATAAAGATTCCTCTTTTGAGTCTTTGCAACTCAAGTCGAGTTGAGCCTGACTCGTTAACTAAATGAGTCGTGGTCGAACTTACGAGTGACTTATTTCGCTTAATAGCTTTGGTTGTGCTTCTAATAGGATAGAATACTCATTAATAATCTAAAATAATTATTTAAATCATTTTTTTTTTTTAAAAAAAAAGGGAGCATGCCTAACCGTTTGATAATAGTAAAACCTATATTTAAATT